AGTATACTCTAAACCATGAAAGACACACAGAAATAATTTGGTTTAATTTGTTGGGAAATTCTATTTCAGTTGTGGATCAATCCAAGTGCATAATACCAACTCTGTTCTTTGTGTGTAGACTACAGTATGTATAACAAATAAGGACACTTATTTTCTGACATTTATTATAGTTGCTGTGCTGCAAAAGATATTTTAAGAGGATTGAGTCACTGTGTTTTATGGAAATATAAGCCAATCACATGATTAGTCATTCGTTCCTCCCTTATCTCTCCTGCAACTATTAAGAACAGGACCTAGAATAATAGGCTCTAAAAGAAGCTGCTTAAGCAGCAGGAACAAGTAAGTAGAAAGGATTAATGTTTAGGCATAAATTAGACTCAATTAAGGGAAATATTTTTCCTTTTAAAACCTTGAAAAGTTTACTTATAAGCCAGTGCCAAAGAGGATAGGTCAGTGGTCGGCAAACTCATTAGTCAACAGAGCCAAATATCAACAGTACAACGACTGAAATTTCTTTTGAGAGCCAAATTTTTTAAACTTAAACTATATAGGTAGGTACATTGGTATTAACTTAATTAGGGTACTCCTAAGCTGGCCTTTGCTAAAAACGTCCTCAATCTGAGGGGTCGACCTCAGCAAACGTACCCCCCACTTCTTCTAAAGCCACTTCTTCAAAATAGACTCGCCCAGGCCGAAAACCGACTTCTGCGCATGGGCCACGAAGTTTCAATCGCACTGTACGTGTGCGCCCACATGTGGTATTTTGTGGAAGAGCCACACTCAAGGGGCCAGAGAGCCGCATGTGGCTCGCGAGCCGCGATTTGCCGACCACTGGGATAGGTGATTCAGATATAACTAAAACCAAAATTGTTTCAATGCATTTCTTAAATTAAAAAGGTGTATGCATTTATGCTATTGATGCCTTCTTTACAACAGCTAAAATACATAAAAACTTAATTATAAATAGTGTGGATAAAAAAGCAGTTCAAATTAAAATTTTAAGCTGAATGAGTAAACTGTCTATTCGAAAGGCATCACTTTGTACTTAAGAACACAAAACCCTTTTTTATTGTACCAATAAACTTGTTTATGTTTAAAGATAAAAATTCACACTAATCAAATACTACATATAAATCATTAAAAACAAATATTTAAATACTTCTACAATTTTTAAGACTATGAATAACACAAGTAAAATTCTAACTAGAGATTAAATGAAAAACAAAACTTTTATATGAAGGCAATGTATTTATTTTGTATAATAATCATACAATATGTATTAATATAAGTGATAAAATTAAACAAATTTAAAATTACATGTCACATTATGAAAACATTCATATTACTATCTTGAATATAAATTAAGAATAAATTATTTGTCCAGACCAAAAACAAGCAAACAAAAGCTTAAAAATTAAAACAACCCAAATACCAAATACAGACAAAAAACATAATGACCAAGCAACAAAATTAAATGTTGGAGAACTCCATCACCGCCTTCTTGGTAACAGTGACACATTACATCCAAATGGATACATTCCTTCATCTTTGACATTAGAATATACTGCATGTGTACAAAAACTATATGTAGTGTTAGATATTCCACAATTTTTAGATAAAAAGTTTTCATTAATATTACCGACAGAACTACGAAAGCAAGCTCACCAAAACAGTGACTGTAAGCAAATCATTTAATTTCAATGAGTGCGAAGCACATCTGACATAAAGAACGTGTTCAATGCCCCTCGCCCATGGATTAAGTACTAGAGAGTAAGTTTGAGAATTTAAGAGGAATAGCTGCACTAATGAATTGTAATGAGATGGACTGTGAAACGGACTGTGCTTGGCAAAGAGTGAAAATATGTTGGATTCAGCCCAGCCGGTGTGGCTCAGTGGTTGAGCATCAACCCATGAACCAGGTCACCGTTCAATTCCCAGTCAGGGCATATGCCTGGGCTATGGGCTTGATCTTCAGTGTGGGGCATGCAGGAGGCAGCCAATCAATGATTCTCTCTCATCACTGATGTTTCTATCTCTCCCTCTCCCTCCCCCCATGAATATCAATAAGTAAATATTTTAGGAAGGAAGGGAGGGAGGGAAATATGCTGGGTTCAAATTAATTCTATCAACTCTGAGCAAAGGATGGGAAAGAAATAGAATACACGAGCCACATATTTACCATCCCTGACATGTAAAAAACATAAAGAGAAGTACTTCTAATATACTAAATGTATACTAATACATACCTAACTGTTGCAAGACAGTTGCTTTTACTTGTGCAGAAAGGTTTTCTGTCTGCAAAAGTTGTTCATAAGCTTCCTTTGCAGAATGATACTTCCTCTAAAGGCAGAAAAAATGATTTAAAGAAAAATAAGTATCTTTCAAGAACCAGGTCATATATTAAGACTTATACAATACCGGTATTTTATACATATTTTTAAACCAACTGAAAGAAAAAGAACTAATTCCATTACTAAATGTTTCTTCAACACTAGACAATTGTGGATCATGCTTCAGAGTACCTAAAACAAGTAAAACATTCAATAAAGTAGCACTAATATATGAGCTTTTAAGAATTTCCCAAATCTCAATACTTAAAAAAAGAAAACCATCTCAACCTATTTAATAACATACATGATTTCAACTTTGTTTGCCTAGAAATACCAAGTTCCCAAGCAACTTAATATGAACAATAGAGCACATGACAAAATGCTTTACAAATTCTAAGGGTAAAAGCAGTTAAAAACTA